TTATTTCAAATGCAATTATTTTGAATGCCAAATGTTATTTAGTTGTTTATGCATTGGTATTCCTTTACAGATTTAATTATTTCTGTTTATTTATATAGACATCTTTTTTATTTCATGGTACTTTTGAAAATACTCCCTTGTTTTATGTATTATGTTTTAAATAACTAATGAATATTAATTATTGATGAAGTCTAGAGTTCAATTACTTCAACCTTATCATGACTCCAAACATAATAACCATTTGAATGCATGGAAAAGCCTGAAACTCAAAGAAATACTATAGTAGAGAACATGTTCTACAACAGGATACATAGTATTAATGCATTTGTAGTTTGTAATAACCTCTACTTACTCAAATAAAGTACAATCTCAATGAAATTAAGCCAACATGTGAGAATACTCAATTAACTTTTGTCATCTTCATGCAACTTTCAGGAGGGTAATGAAATCTGGAGGAAAAAAAAGCTTAAAAGAAACAAGGCAAATCAATCTAGTGGACGTATAGTTAGTATTATTATATAGTTTAAAATCCACTTCCAGAGAATGTCTTGGGATCATGCATGTTTAGATATTGTATGATCTTGCATCAAAAACACATAGCACACGGGCCGGCCTGGTGCTGCAGCTGTTGGGTTCACATGCTCCATTTCAGTGGCCCAGGGTTTGCTGGTTTGGATCCCGGGTGCAGACCTATGCACTGCTTGTCAAGCCATGCTGTGGCAGGCATCGCACATATAAAATAAAGGAAGATGCACACGGATGTTAGCTGAGGGCCAGGGTTCCTCAGCAAAAAGAGGAGGATTGGCTGCAGACGTTAGCTCAGTAATCTTCCACAAAAAAGCCCCAAACACCTAGCACAGTGCCTGGCACATAATTGTTCAAAAATTGTTAGCTATCATTTTTATTACTTTTTCGACTACTAGAAACAGTATAATGTTTTAAGAGCACAGGCATTGACATCAGGTTTAAGTTGAAATTTTGTCAATAATAATGAGCACTGAGAAATTATATTACTCCTCTTTCAACTTCATATTTCTCTTTCTAAAATGGGGATGATAATATTTTCTGTATTTCGTGAGGATCAAATAGATGACATTTGTACTGAGTGGGTGTCTTCCACACTGCGTTCACATCTTTGTGGCTCAGGTCTTTCTGTAAACCACAGTGGTGGTCCTCAGCAGAGCTCTAGGTGTCTAACTTTTTATAATTACTACTTATATGTTCAGCCATTTCTTTTTCTCCCTCAACGAGTGCATCTTTTATCTATGTGGCTAAAACCAGAGGGAGTTTGAAATTCAGCTATATGATGTGTCAGGACATATTTCCTCCTATAAATTTTGTTTTTGCTTTTTTCTTTATAGCACTTACATTAATTAATTATTAAGACTGTTTTTCTTTAGAGCACTTTTAGGTTCACAGAAAAATTGAGGGAAAGATGCGGATTTTTCCCGTATACCCCCACCCCCACACATCCATACTCTCCTCTGTTACCAACATCCCCCACCAGTGAAAGACACCTGTTACAGTTGATGAACCTACACTGATGCATCATAATTCCCCAAGGTCCATGCGTAATTTACATTAGGGTTCATGCTTGGTGTTGTATATTCTATGAGTTTCGACAAATGTATAATGGCGTCTGTCTATCACGGTATCATACAGAGTATTTTCATCATCATAAAATCCTCTGTGCTCCACTTCTTCATCCCTCTTCCCACCCCCAACCTCTGATGACCACTGATCTTTTTATTGTCTTCATGGTTTTGCTTTTTCCAGAGTGTCATACAGTTGGAATCATATAGTATGTAACCTTTGCAAATTGACTTCTTTCACTTAGTAATATGCCTTGAAGCTTCCTCCATGTCTTTTCATGGCTTGATAGCTCACCTCTTTTAGCACTAAATAATAGTCCACCATCTTGATGTAGCACAGTTTATTTATCCATTCATCTACTGAAGGACATCTTTGTCGTTTCCAAGTTTGGACAGTTATGAGTAAAGCTGCTGGAAACATCTGGGTGCAGGTTTTGGTGTGCACCTAAGTTTTCAACTCTTTTGGGTAAATATCAAGGAGCACCCTCCTATAAATTTTCAAATCTTTGTGTGGGACCCGCATTATCAGCCCAGAGTTCCCCTGTGCACACTTCATGTTTATTCCTAACATGTGAACCTCTGTAGTGACCATCCCAAGCCATCAAGACAGTGAATCTGAAATGAGACAGAGTCTGAGTCTGGACTTTCGTTTCCCCTCACAAAGTTCCTTGGCTCCTACATAAATTCATCTTCTTTTGCCTCAGTGAAAAGCTTTAAAAATGACAGTGATAGTGTAGGGTGATGGATCAATTTGTCAGTCCACCAAATATCCCCTAAGACCCTTTCCCTAGGGGCAGCTACTGTAATTATATTTACATAACTAATACAGGCCATAAGGGTAACTTTACACAAAATAATTAAAAGCCGCTGGAGAGCCATTAGCTTTTCTACCCATGGCCATGAATAGACAAGCATAATTTTTAGAAATTCTATGTCAACATGCATCCTGTTATGAATGTAACAGCCCCAGCACAAAGCTTGGTACACAATAAACCCTGAGTAAATGGTAACTGCAACTGTTATTGCAAATTATGTTGATTTTCATGATGATCGTAATCGAGAAAGTTGATAATCATGCTCCAGAAACAGTGAAAAATCCTTGAACCTCAATTATTAAAACATACCCAGGATATTGTATTTCTAAGTCAGAAAAAGAAATACATAGTTTTTGAAAACTGTTCTAATGAGGTATATATTTGATTAATGGCTAACCAGAAGATTAATTTCATCTGATTATTACATCTCTCTGATCAGTTGAGGTGAGGTTTTAAATGTGTATAGAAATCTAGATATATATGAACAAAGTATGCTAGAAAGGCATATTTGAATTTTAACAGCATAATCATTTGTTACAAATCACTCTCTTTTAAAGGTCTTATGTAAGAGAACTACAAAATTGCTGCCATGGTTTCTTAAATTTTACTACCATTTGAGTACTCATTTCTTTCCATAGCTCCATCTCCCTTAATAGCGGCTGATAAGGTTCCCACTCCGGTAGCTATGTGGGATAGATACTATAGAGTAGCAATAACTTGTTTGCTTTTTATATTTGCATTACAAGAACTCCTAGATTCTTTTCTTTGGATCATCTGAAATAAGAATCAAAAGGATTTGCTTTCCTAGGGATTGAAATGGCATCTACATACTTTGAAATCCCTGAAATCTATGTATATTTATGAGTTATTTGTACATTATGTGTTTGTAAATCGAGAAGACCTTTAAAAATACAAAGAATTAAGTATTCTTAGCATTTATCCCTAGCTTGTCATAATTATCAGTATTATTTTTCACTTTAGCATAGCATTTGATTTTGCTTCACACAGATTTCTAAACTTTACTTGAGAAATCTTTATTCTAGGTATAGTAGTACTTGCTTAATTTTGCTGATTTCTCATTGTCTCTCTATACTAAAATATAATTATCCCTTGCTTGTTAAAGTTGATGCAACATTTTGAAAGTATTGATTTTTAAATGTCTTCATATGTTCTCATTGACTTTTGATAAAATTTGAAAGTACTCTCTTGGCCGTATTTTGGGCCAGGAAACCTGACAGAAAGCAAATATCTTTTTGAAATCAGATATTTTATAGAAAGTTTAAAAACACTGGAAGTGTTTATAATATTACTACTCACCTCATATTCCTCTCCATGTAAAAGTAGCGTATTCAAAATTGAAAATGATTTATCTTTAGGTTAAAACGACTCTATAATTTTAAATTTTAATCTTGTTGAGTAATTTAATTTGTACGTTTTTCCCCATATTTATTGCTTATTTCCTAAGTTCTTGTACAAGGGAATGGCGTCTTTGCGATTCCTTACTATATCCTTGGATAAAAATAACCAATGGCGGAGGATCCCAGTGTAATAATCATCAATGATTTTTGCAAAACTGATTTTGATTGGGATTTGTAGCAACAGTTGAAAGTCCACACTAACCAAATGCAGATGATGTTTATTTGGTTTATCCTTTTTCCAATCTAATGATAATTAACAGTTATTGTCAACAGTTGCAAAAAGAATATTAAACTAGGAATTAGAACATTTGGATTTTAATGTCTCTGAAACTTCCTCACTATATGACCTTGGTTAAGTTAATAATTTCCCTAAGCCTTCCTTTCTTCCCCTGTAAAGAAACAACTGTAATAATACCTTCTCCATAGGGCTATTATGAAAACTAGATCTATCTAAAGCATTCAGAACAGAGTCTGTTTCGTAAGGTATTCACTAAATATTAGCCATAATTTGACACTAGCACTGTAACTTGCCATTCTTTCCCTTTCTCTTCTTCCTCTTTTCTTCTCATCTTCCTCCAGAATGTCTTTGTGGAAGTTAACTATTTCTCTGCATATTTACTTGAAAAGTGGGTCAAAGTATTCTGCCCCACACAAATTAGGTGATACATACAATGCTTTGGGAAATATTAAGCTCTACAAAAATCAGAGGTGAACATTATATTAAATATAGTGGATCTGGGTTTTTCAATATTAAATTTTTTAGAAGTAGCTACTGTTCATGATTTAGTGTAAAATAGTCAGTAGGAACAGTTATGCTTTGCAGATGCTGTAACAGCAAAGAGGAACTAACAGGAGTATCAGAATAAAGGAGGCAGACCTTGGCAGTTCTATGAGCAATATGGCTGCATGATGCTGTATCTTAGAATATTTGGAAAAAAATTGAATTTCTTAAATTGATAATTCTTCCCTTTTTCAATCAATTTCCAGTATGAACAGCACAACTCTGGGTTTTTGTTTGTTTGGTTTTTTGGTCAGATAGAATCCTTTTTTCCACAAATGTGTCTTTTAATGTACTTAGAGAAGCATAACAAGGTGATTTCTTTTGAGCGCCGCCCTTTTAAAAGTATGTGCACACTTTGGAGAGCCAACCTAAGAGTCAGATTTTTGTTTTTCAGTTTCCAAATGTGACTTTGAAGCAAATAGCTGTGGTTGGTTTGAAGCAGTTAGTGGTGACGACTTTGACTGGACGTGGAGCTCTAGAAGTAACCTTCCTGCTGAGTTTGAGCAGCAGGCCCCACCTCAGGATCACACCCACAACACAGCTCAAGGTAGGAAACAAGCAGAGACTCTCTGTAGCTACTTAAATTTACCTTTGGTCGGGTCTGAGAAGAGAAAAAGAAGCAGTTACGGTTCTATGTGACTACAACAAATGGTAGCACGCTTGAATATTGTCAATTATACTTACGTTGGCAACATGGAACGGCTCATTTATGGGTGGTGGTATGGAGTACAGATATATTTTTGGTTGAATTAAGTGGAAATTACCTTTTTTGGCATCATTTTGAACTAGATGTAGATAATAGTTTAATATTTATAGGAGCAAATTTGGCTAACGATCATTTTTATTGATTTTTAATTGTTGTAGAGTCTTACTTTTAGTTGGACATGGAACTCAGTGCACGGTTAAGAGAGAGAAGTCTCGCTTTAGAATCCAGTAGGTTAACTTATGATTTGTTTTTCTATTCCAATAGGGCATTTTATGTTCATTCTGAAGAAAAGCAGCAGCTTGTCACAAATTGCTAAACTCCAGAGCCCAACTTTCAGCCAGACAGGTCCTGGATGCACCTTTTCCTTCTGGTAAATATTAAAAACAAAGGTCAACTACGCCAGCAGCCTGTGGGTTGCAGGCATATTCCTGCATTTATTAGACATTATGATTTGTCCCTGGTTTTACTTTAAAAATGGCTATTGCATTAGATTACACAATTAGCATTTTCCTAAGGAGCACATTGTTGGTATTGATTGTGTTCTTTCTTAAGATGAAAGGAACTCTTTCCCGCCAACAGTGGATTAACACTGCCTCCTCTGTTCTGGGCTGAACTCCTTGGGAAAGGTTCCTAGGGTCCTGAGAACCAGAGTATGCACCTCAGCAGATAAGCTCTTGCAAACGGGCAGCCACAATTCCTGCAAGAAATAAAGGTGCCCATTATGATAGCTAATTATTAATTGATGGTTGACCAAGTGGAAGCATCTAAAAGTTAAATATTTAGTCTGTCCCATAAATCATTTCCATATCTTATGTTTGCTCTTTTCCAGGTTCTATAACTATGGCCTGTCAGTGGGAGCAGCTGAGCTACTGCTACACATGGAAAATTCCAATGAATCCACAGTACTCTGGAGAGTATTATATAACCAGGGAAACCAATGGTCACAGGCAACCATTCAGCTTGGGCGCCTTACTGAGCCCTTCCATTTTTCACTAAGTAAAGTCAGTCTTGGCATTTATGGTGGGGTCTCAGCTATTGATGATATCACATTTGAAAACTGTACTCTTCCCCTCCCTGTGGAGAGCTGCGAGGGGCCAGATCATTTCTGGTGTCCACACACCAAGGCTTGCATAGAAAAGCTTCAGTTATGTGATCTGCTGGATGACTGTGGGGATCGTGCTGATGAGGTTGACTGTGGTAAGTCATGTTTTTTCGTCCTTCTTACTTATTTTGGTAGGGGTGATCTTGGTTAGTTCACCATTTATAGCCAATCAAGCCAAAGACATTAAGCATTGTTCCAAAGTTGATGAATGTTATGTGTGATTAATTAATTAATTAATTAGGCAAGCCATCAGTATTTATGAACTAGATTATGTAGGTTTATGAACTAGATCACTAGAGATACAAGGATGAACACAACTGCACAGAGTCCTGACCTCATGGAGCTTATGGTCTAAATGAGGAGATAGATATTATTCAAGTATTTAAAAAATAAATATAAAATGGAGAACAGGAGTTACAAATAGACGTGTTGTGATAATAATGGCATTGGATTTTCTGGAGGTGATGACTTAGCTGGGATCTGAAAAAGAATAAGTCAAAGCATATATGTAAAAGCCCTGATATTTGACTCCATCGCAGATGGAAGACAGCCAGTGTGGCTGGAGCAAGGAGATGAAGGAGAAATGGGGTGCTACAAGGGAGAAGATGTAGGGGAGGCCAGATTTGCAGATCTTTGTAGTCCATATTAAGGAAGTTTTTCTTCACTTGAAGATTTTTAAGAAAGAAGGTAATATAATAAAATTAGCATGTTTAAAAATGTCACTGTGAATGTGGTGTAAGGAACGGATTGGAGGAGAGTGGATTTGGGATTTCCATTAGGAGGCCATTGCAGTAGTCCACAGGAAAAGGGTTGGCAGCCTGTGTTACAGTGATGATGATGGAAGGACTAAAGTTTGAGGAAATATTTAGGAGGGGCCTTTGATGATGTTTTGGCTGTGGGGAGCAGAGAGTAAGGTGTCAAAGATACATCCTGAGTTTCTGGTTTAAATTACCAAAAATGATGATTGCATGTGTCTTGCAATTTAATAAACCTGGCTCAAGATACTGCTTAACGCCTTTGCTCCTGAAAATGAACCAGAACCTAACAGTTATTTGGTTTTTTTTAATGACAAAAACCAGTCAGAAAAACAATTGCATCTTTCCTTGTCCATAAATAGCAAGAGTTCTTAAAATTCAAACTATGTGCCTACTAAATTGGGAGGCTAATTATAACCAAAGAAAGCCACAAAATGCTTGGTACATCATAGGAAACATTACATTAAGAAATTTCCATATAAATCATTGTAGAGAGTTTTGCATATATGTGATCTTTGATATAGTCAGGCATATTGAAGTCAGAATTACCATGCATCTCATTACACAAGTAATACCTCAAGTGGATATAAATAAAATTGATGAATTCCACAATGGCTATTGTAAGAAGTGTTACTTGTCCTAAAGATAATTTATTTTTGTACATTTAGAAAGCATTTTCATCTTTTTCAAGCTTTCCAAATCCCACTCCTTAAAAAATGATCTGTGGCTAAAAATAAGCAAATCATTCTTTGAACTTCTCAGTATTAACTTAGAACGTAATGGGCAATATAACTGTAATATCAAAATACTTTTTGTGACTAAATATTAATGAAAGGAAATAGTAGTGGCATTAGACTGTCAGTTTCTCTCACAGTTTTCCATCTAGACATATTACTTTATTGCAAGAATGCATTAAACATCCAGAAGTCTATGCTATATTCCTAAAGTGTGTTTAAGAACATGGTCTGTTATTAAAGGGCAAAGTTGCTTGTATTCTCTTTTGAAGTAAAGGTTGAACACGCAGTCAGTATGAAGACAGGCAATATAAGAATCTGCTGGCTTTACTGCCAGGTTTGTGTCAGAAACCGCAGGAGCTTGACATTCTCCTTCTGCTCCACAGCCAAAGACTGACACCTGGAGAGTGCACTGTGGGTCCCCAGTTCACGTCGCGGCTGGGCTTGATTAGTCACAAGTGAGGAAATATCAAATGAAAACTCATCTCCCATTTGACATTTACTCACTTGATTCCCTTCGTTAGGTCTGAGCTCCGGTTCTATGGTTTCCAGAGACGGATGATCTGTGCTTGCCTGGCTGCATTTATTCACATGTGCTGTTATTTATTGTTTCAGAGTATTTGTTCATCTTGGCACCAAGTGCAGTTACTAAGATGAATAGTTAAAGGACAGCTGACATTTATTTTTTAAAAATATTAACTTATGTAAATGAAGCTAAAATATGGGAGTACTCGTTAATTCTAAATCCTGTCCCTTTTGTCCAAATAATGTCAAATGTACATCCTATCCCATTTATTCTAAGCAAATACTTGGTGTCGATAAAATCCCCACATCTTGAAAAATGAATGTGTTCCTATATAATTAGGTAGAGTCTTCAATTGATAAGGAACTAGTCAATTTTTTATAAGTGCTTTGAATTCTTCTAGTGTCTGGAGAGAGTTAGAAATTTAAAAGCTCTGGCTTAAAGGAGCTACAACCCGGTGAGAAGAACAGACGTCCACTGAGGAGACACAGCTAAGAACTGGCAAGGCACACGACAGAGGTGGAGAAAAGGACTCATTGGGAAGACGGTGCATGCTGGGCGAAGGATAGTTGGGCATCAACAAGAAGTTATTTTAATTTGAGAAAAGTGGAGCTTCAGAGATAGAGTTTTGATTTAAGTTTAGATTAAATCAGTATATATTAAAGGATTTTGAATAAAGATGGAAAATGATAAACTGACATTGAAGGATGATCATTCTGGCACTGGTCCGGAGGGGCATTTGGAGATGGAGCAGGATGGAACCAGAGGCAAGAACTTTTCAGAGTGAGGTCTGGAAAACACCTGCATCAGAATCGTCTTGGGTATTTGTTAAAAACACTGATTCCTGAGCCTGACCCCATATCTAACAAACTAGTATTTGTGCAGGCTTCACCTTGGTGTAAGCAATTTTACCATGCAGCCCAGGTGATTCTGAAAGATTGAGACCTATTAAAATATGATTGTTCTCAGTTTCACATGTTAGAATCATCAAGGGAGCTGATCAAGTATCCTGATGTTTGGCTACACTATTTGGGCCAATCAAGTTAACATCTCTGGAGATGAATTCTGGGTTTTGGTGTGTTTCGTTTTGTTTCTTAATGCTCACTGGTGATTGGAACATTTGGTTAAGGTTGAAATCCACTGAGCCAGAAGTTTGTTGCAGTGAGCCAGCCATGGGGTCATGATCATTTGCCTAAAGTTATGGTAATAGAAGCAGAGAAGGGCTGGGCATAAAAGCATTTGGGAATAATGGCCAAAGCAAGTCCACCTTCAGTCCATAAAATATTATTATTGATATATTATCTAGGATTTATTCACTCTTTTAAAAACTTTAATGTTGCATTTAAAAAATTAAAATGGTTTACCTTGACAAGAGCAAAATATCTACTGGTATTCTTAATCATAGTTATTTTTGTCTTTAATTACCTTTTACTATTATTTAATGCCAATTGCAGTACATGAACTACAATGTAACTTTGAAAATGGAGTTTGTAATTGGGAGCAAGATACAGAAGATGACTTTGATTGGACCAGGTACCAGGGTCCAACTCCAACACTTAATACAGGGCCAATGAAGGATAATACTTTGGGCACAGCTAAAGGACACTATCTCTACATAGAATCTTCGGAGCCACAGGTTTTCCAAAACAGAGCTGCTTTACTCAGCCCAATTCTTAATGCCACGAATACAGAGGGCTGCTCCTTCCGCTTGTATTACCACATGTTTGGAAAGCGCATTTATAGGCTGGCCATCTACCAGCGAATCTGGAGTAACACAAGGGGACAGCTGCTATGGGAGATATTTGGAAACCAAGGCAACAGGTGGATAAGGAAACACCTCAACATTTCCAGCAGGCAGCCTTTTCAGGTATGGATAATGGGTTTCATAATGTATATTTGAAATGCATCAGGATGTCTAAGAAATATGAAAGAATGTGATATTCTTGAATTGAAAGTAAGCGGAATTTGATCAAAGTTACTTGACACTCATTTATCACTTAATTAAGGTTGTACCAAAGGTTGTTAAGTTGCTTTCCTCCTTGACTATCCCCAATAATATGTGATTCAAATCTCTAAAGATGGAACCATGACATTGGAAACGGCTGCAGGTCCTTCTGATTTATTCTACTAAAAAAAATCTGCAAGGAAAAAGACTTTGGCACACTCTCTGGTATTCCACAAAAGCTCAGATTCTTAAATCTGTTATTGTGAATATTTCACTTGACTTTTTCACGTTTTATGGTTAAGCAACAAAATCCAGGAAAAGTGTATGCTTTGTAGGAAAATCACACAGCTACTTTGGGGCAGAGCTAGAGTTTGAGTCTTAACCTCCTTACTCCTGGTGGAATATGCTTTATTCTGAATCTTACTATCTTCTCCTAAAAGTCAAACTTGCAAGAGCAAGTTCAAATGCTTATGTGGCTTTTACAGTTTTATAAAGGATTTTTATGTATATTATCTATTTGATTCTCTCAGCAATTCCCTGAAGTGGGTGAGTCAGAGATCCTTTGTGCCAATTTTATAGATATGGTGAAAAAAACTCAAAGAGGTTGCTGTTCATGACCAAATAGCTGGTGGGCAGCAGAACTGGGGCTTGGATGGGACCCACAGTTTCTAATTAATTCATATTCATATTCAATATATCATACAGCCTGTAACATGTAGGAGGGTTGAATATTTGTTCTTTCTCCCTTAGGTCAATTAGATCTAAATATAATACACTGGAAGAAACTTCTTATCTATCCTGACTAAACATTTTTTTGCATGTACTAAATTTGTCTCAGTTACCCAGATTTAAAGCATTGCCACTATCTAAATGTCTTGAATTAACAGTTTTGTAGCCAAGAATCCAGGCCACCTTTTGAGAGCTTCCAGCAATCATAGATGTACATTGTACGTGGCTCGGTAGAGAATACATTGGGGTTGGTGATTTGTCCAGATGGACGTAAGCTGAAAGCATGAGAGCTAATCTGCCCTCTGTAGAGTGATATCTGGCTGTTCAGCCGCAATGGTAAGATGCGTGAGATCATATGAAATGAAGTTGAATAGAGGCTTTTTGGACTTTAATTTAATAATGGTGCATCCACTTCCAATTAATTCTTAATGCCTGATCAGGCCAATTGTAATTTGGACCAAACTAGTGTTTAGTGAATAAACTGTCCTTGTGATCTTTACTCAAGAATTAGTTTGCAGGAGAAGATCACCTTGGCAGGAGAGCGGCTTCACAGTCAGATGAACGTGGAACTAACCAAGAAATCCTTTCGTTATGAATCTAAAGCATAAAAATTAAGGTTTGAAGCCCATCCTGGTTATATATGGAGTATTCTGTTTGATTTTACCTAGGGGTTCCTTTAGATTTTTTAGTTTTTAAATGAAATTCAAGCATGAAAAGATAAAATAAAGATTCTGCACGCTGCATAGATTAATCATTCAAGATAGTAAAAATTGGGTCCAATTTAAGCAACAGGATATTTTTCTTCGTTGAATAATGGGTGTACATAGTTTCTGTTCTACTGAGCAAGAGCAGCAATAACAACCAACATTTTAATTAACTGTGGTATTTTAGGTGAAATTACCTAGTATCATGCCCAGCAGATGACAGGTACTCATTAAATGTTTGTTTAAAAGAAAAATTCAAAGATCTTTCAGGATTATTCATTTCAAATGAAATACATAGGATAGGACTAGATTGTATGTGCAAGTATAGGAACTGTTTGGCTTATTAATGTCACTTGAAATAATCAGTCACCGCTCTTATGTGTGGCAATGTCAGTAAAGGTTCAGCAAATCATTACACCTAAAACTTCAGGTTAACCTCCAACTGATTTTTATTGGGAGCTTTATTGAGGTATAATTGACATATAATAAACAACATATTGAAAGTTTTGAAACCATTACCGCAATCAAGATAATTAAAAAACATGTGTACTTCTAAAAGTTTCATCATGTCCCTTTGGAATACCTCCCTCTGGACCCTCACTCGCATCTCTTAACAACCACTGAACTGCTGTCAGTGTACACTAATTTATACTTCCCAGACTTTTACATAAATGAAACTGTATAGTATGCACTTTTTTCTGTCTTCTTTCATTCAGCATAAATGAATCTCAAAATAATTATGCTGAATTATATTGTATATGTTATTCCATTATATGATATAGCAGTTTATCCATTTACCTATTGATCAATATTTGGGTTGCTTGTAGTTTTAGCTGCTATAAATAAGTCTGTTGTGAATATTTCTGTATAAATATTTATATGATCATTTGCTTTTATTTCTTTTGGGTAGATACTCAGGGGCGAATGGCTGGATCATAATGGTAGAAGTATGTGTAACTTTTTAAGCGACTCTTAAATTGTTTTTGAAGTTTATCATCTTTTATTTCCATTGGCAGAATGTGAGAGTTCTAGTTCCTCCACATCCTAGCCAGTACTCGTTATCATCAGTCTTCTTAATTTTACCACTCCGAGTATACAGTGGTACTTCATTGTGGTGTTAATTTGCATTGCCTCAGCATTAATTATGCTGAACATATTTTCATCTGCTTATCTGCCAAATGAATGTCTGATTTGAAATGTCTGTTCAAATCTTTTGTCCAATTTTTAAATTGTGGTTTTTGTTTTCTTACTATTGAGTTTTGAACTTTCTAATATTTTCTGGATGCAGGCCTTTTGATCAGCTGTATGAATTACAAACATTTTCTCCCACTCTGCAGTTTGCCTTTTCATTCTTTTAATAGATTCTTTTGAAGAGCAGATTCTTTTTAACTTTGATGAAGTCCAACTTATCAATATATTATTTTATAGATCATGCTTCTGTGTTGTATATAAGAAAGCTTTGACCAACTCAAAGTCCTCAGGTTTCCACCCCTCCCTCTCCCCTCCTTTGGGGGTTTTGATTACGTTAAATTAAGCAGCTTGAAGTTTTTTCACAGCTTACTGTTGCTCTTTTCAGTTTTTTTTCTAATTCTCATTTCCCTCTGTGTTTTATTTTGGATAGTATCTATCATTATTTCTTTAATGCCTAACCCATTAATCCCCTCCAGTGTATTTATCATCTCCTAAATTGTGAATTTTATCTCTAAAGTATGACTTGGACCTTTATTTTATCTCCTATATCTCTGTTTGAGGACCTCCAGAATACGGTTTTAATAACTGTTTTAGATTTTCCGGGTGACGTCAATAAGATGTCAGAATGGGAGATCCCCTGCATATCCCCTCTCAGTAAAAATAATTTGAGGGCCTGGCCCGGTGGCGCAGCGGTTAAGTCCGCATGTTCTGCTTCTTGACGGCCCGGGGTTCACGGGATTGAATCCTGGATGTGGACGTGGCACTGCTTGGCACACCATGCTGTGATAGGCGTCCCACATATAAAGTAGAGGAAGGTGGGCACGGATGTTAGCTCAGGGCCAGGCTTCCTCAGCAAAAAGAGGAGGACTGGCAGTAGTTAGCTCAGGGCTAATCTTCCTCAAAAAAATAGTAATAATAATTTGAGGGGCTGGGCCCATGGCCAAGTAGTTGGGTTCACACGCACTGCCTCAGTGGCCCAAGGGAGCTTTGGGATCCAGCCACAGGCTAGGAGCAGTCCTGCCTGCTCAAGTGCCCACTAGAAGTCTTGTTCATGTCCCTGGAGGTAGGCCACTGAACTCAGTCTGACAGCAGATCTTGAAACAGCCCAGGGTTTCTTTGGTTCGCATCCTGGGCATGGACATGGCACTGCTCATCAGGCCATGCTGAGGTAGGCACCCACATGCCCCAACTAGACGGACCCACAACTAAAATATACAACTGTGTACTGGGGGATTTGTGGAGAAAAAGCAGAAAAAAAAGTAATTTGGCAACCATCTATGAACAAAAGTGCCTTTGTGGGAGCTTTAATGTGTTCAATGAGATATGTTTCATTTTTTTTAAGTTATTTAGGTTTCTTAGAACTTACTGCTAATTCCTTTTCCGAGCATGCTTTTTGGATAGGAGATACCACGCTTTTTCCTGAGTCTATACTGCCAGCATGAAATTTCCCTGAAACATCAATGTAGCAACACAACTTACACCCTATGTGGAGGGTCACATTCAAATGTCGACAAGGAAAGATGTTTGAGTCAGCCTCTATTGTAGAGGCTGTTGAATGAAAATAAGTGAGAAGGGACATTTTATTACCACTGTTTTGAAGAAAATTTTAAAGTATAACTTCTAAAGAGGTTTCAACTGTTATAATACTGAGCACGCTATGGACCTTCTGAAAGCACAATTTCTAACAAAGAAACACAATGGGTTCTTTATCAAGTCTAGTCTCATCTGTATGTCACATTTTTACTTATCCTTAAATGAGGATCTAGGTACATCATGAAAACTAACTTTCACACAAGCGCCTAGTCATGTGATGTTTTCAGCTGCCTTTGTTGGTTGTGCACCACGGATGTTATATCAGTATCATAGGATATTACATTTGGAATTATTTAACATTAAAATTAGGTCAAGAACTTTCTCACCGGCTATTTGACCCAGATGTACTCTGTACCTCCAGTGTTAAGAACTTATTATTTCATGAGGTTTTCCATCCTACCTTTGGACATACTGACAGCAAACGTTTTGTTATACAAAATTGAAATCTGTCTCCCTTATGCTTTTCCCTTGTAGGATTGAGTTTCTTGGCATGGATTCAGTATCAATGGTAGTCACTGATAAGGGTTACAAAAATCTAGTTTATGCAACTTATTAATTCTTTAGCACCACGGAAAACAGGACTTACAATCTTCAGCTCACTTCTTCCTAACATGACCTCTTTTTTCTGAAGTGTATATTTGTGTATGAGGTAGCCCTGGGGAGGACACGGGCCTTCAAAGAAAAGATTCTCCTGCTAGACCTCTT